TTTATACGAGATGCATTCGGCCTAGTCTGTTTTCGTTGATGAAAGACGAAATAGCGCAAACATATCTCATACAGCTGATTTATTGGTAGTCTCGAAACCCTTTCTACAAACGATAAAGTGGTAATGTAATCGATTGCTATAGCAAACATAACTTTGCTTCAGCGAATGTAACATGTGAAAATGTTCGGCCTTCATGAGGTTTCACACCTTACCCAGTGATTCAACAGCATTCGTGGCAGTCTGGCGTGGTGGTTGACGTATCGAAAGTATATGCTGTACTGTCATGGTTCGAGTCCCTTTGGGGATGCTGACGAGACCAGATAAGGCGAGCTCGGAACTGTAGCCCATTCCAGCCTGCATATGAATGACTTGTGGGAAGCAAAGTTATGTGAAATTTTATAGAATTCAAGTAATCGAAATAGCGTGAATACGCCTCATAAATATGATTTACCGGTAGTCTCAAAGCACTACTTACAAGCGAACAATAAGTAGTCTGCTTTTAATTGTTGAGCCTACCCTTTTAATTGGCCGGATATTACTTGGTATTGCTAGTAAATCAGTTATTTTTCGTGTATAAACAAAGTTTCGAGACTACCAGTAAATCAGTAATATGAGATGCATTCACCCTATTTCGTTTAAGGAAAATTCTACTTCCAGTCCTTCATCACCTTAAACCAAATAGGGTCAATTCATCGCATATAGTCAATTATGTTTTCGGTTGATATGCCAAATAAAAGACAATCACATAACTATAGGACATTCTGACGACTTCAAGTATACCAACCAACTTATCTCTTCCATTCGCAACACAAGTGCACAAACATGCCAATTCAGAAGTTGTTGAATTATTTGTATGCAAATGTGTATTTATATGAGTAATTACCCTTCAAGCTGTACTGCTTACGAGTGTGCATCATGTCACATTGTTGATGAGTATGGGATTTCGAAACCATGGTGATAGTTGTGAGGACTAGAACATGGCGCCAAGTTCCTGCCAAGTAATAATGTTTTTGGCCACTTTTTGAGTAGGCCAAATGCGATTGCACACCGGAGAACAAACACACTTATGCTATTGTAAAAGAACTTTCTGTTTAAAATAGGGTGTGAATAATGTGTGGTTCCACTGGGAAGCATGGCCTCGAAGCACAATTGAGTCACCACCTTCTCAGTGACGACAACAAAGCCATTATCTTTCCTTAAGTCCATCAATCAAGTAGCCATTACGTAACCGGCCACCTCCTTCAGCTCATTCGTCATAGTCTCTGTGCTGTACATTTCCATGGCTCGTCTTATTTTGGTACAGTCTTGAGCCGAGAATAGCAACCGGCTCGCTTGAAAGTTGAATTAGTTGCAATAATGAGTTCGAACTCTGATTCTGACTTTGCGTCGCGACAGGAGGCCGGTTCGAGAAGGTTGCTAGGAGATCAGACAATAGTAGACGGCGGTGAATATGCCATCAAACCAGAAAGTTGGTTATTCCACATTTTTATATGAAATGCAAAACAGTCAATCCATGACATGCTTGTTAATTACTTTTCGTTTATGAGTTGTTTTTCGATAAGGCCTTTTGTTTAAAATTGTTCAGCTCACTCTCATTTCGAGTTGCATTTCGTCATAGAGACCATCGCCTTCGTGTTTATGCGCTAAACATGCTAAGCTTTCGTGTGTCTTGCCGCTTAATAGACATCCTCTGAGCTGGACAGCATTCATACATGTTGGGATTACTTCCATTTCGAGTAGAAGTGTTGGGTGCTAATATTTCGTGCGTCATATGAAGAAACATCATCAGAGCGAGGTAACATCATCACAACCAAATTCAAGCTAAAGAGTCAAGAAAACTCTGATGATGTTCGTCATGTGACGGACGAAAGCTTAGCACCTTTTTATCGGAATCGAAGGAGATTGCCTCGGCAACAGCGTCAGCCTGAATCTTCCAGTAAAGCCAATCGACAGCTGGTCAAGAGGAATCCGCGGTTGTCTTCTGGTGGAACCGACCTTCGAATCTCTTCACCCAACACATTCACTCGAAATGAAAGTAAGCTCAACAATTATGAAACAAGAGATTCCTCGAAACCCAACTTTTCTTAGCATTCATGCAGCCCAATGAACATGACACGCCCATGGAGATGATGTAGGGTCTAATGTGGTCATCGTTCAAGTCTCGAATTTTTTTTGTCGAAAACCATAGTTAAATAATGTATAAATTGTATATGTAAGTATTGAGTAGGTTTTCGAGACTACCAGAAAATAGAATATATTAGATTCGTTCACCCTATTTCGTTTAAGGTGATGACGGACTGTTAGGGTGAACACGTCTCATATACAAACTTTACGCGCAGCCTCGAAAACCTACTCAATAACGGAAAATGTAATATCGCCGATTGCTATAGCAACACAGAATATGATATGAAAATGCCCGAATTTCCGTGAAATTCGAATCTGCTCTGTGGCCCAAGGGCACTCGTGACAATGTCGCAGAGTGGGATGACGTGTCGAGCTTACACGCTGCACTGTCGTTGTTCGAGTCCTTCCTGGGGCTGTTGATAAGACCGATGTGAGGTCGAAACTGCATTCCATTTGTGTCTGGATGAGAACTATTTTTGGGAGAGCAAGGCGATGTAAAATTCATTGGGAACGTCAGCTCTACTCATATCATCGCGGGAAAATTCTACTAGCAGTTCTTCATCGCCTTATATGAAATAGAGTGAATGCGTCTCATGTGTATTTAAGTAAACAGTAATAACAGCCATAAGATGGCGAGTATTATCATACTACTTGCAAATAATAAGAGTAGCATTTAACAAATATTTGAATTTGCTTTATCATTTCTATGGAAAAATATGGAAAAATAAATGTAAATGAATGTGTAATGGAGAGTCTTGTTGCTCTACTTGCGATAAATATGAGTAATATTTAAAATCTGTGCAAATTGACCCTTTTTAATTTGATAATAAATGATTCATAATTGTAAGCCGTTACAAACGAGAGGTCAACTTGCTTATTAACCTCTTCCGAGGCCTGGCTCAATCAGTGGAATACAACAAAATAAAGAATTTAGTTAAATCGCGTCTGTGCGGGCCAGCAAAGAGTTAGCATGCGGCTGGCTTGTCGTCTTCGCTGTCCGATGCTCCACCCGGCTCCCGGCTCCCTCCCTCCGGCTCGGCTTTGATTGGTTGCCGGGACGGTATGCTTCAGCCCAAATCCCTCGTTTAGCGTTTCTCCTGTCCAGCCGGCCAGCAAGTTGTGTTTGCGCACAGGCTGAGGGGTCGAGAGACGACGCAAACCCCTTCTCCAGCTGGGAATCAGCTGACCCCAGCCCCTCACTTCGCCCTGTCGTCTGGCCAGTAGCAGAAGAGGCGAAAGGAAATTGTCTAAATGGTTGCTGACGCGGGTCAGGTGGGCCGAATGAGGGTTTGGGGGGTGATCGAGAACGAAATGAATATGCGCCTGACACGAATGCCACAAACATGGACATAACAAGTGAGTAGAAGGGAGGCAAAGAAGCAAACATGACCCCTTCGCGGTTGATCATTGAAAAAAGTATTTCATTAAAAAGCCTCCAGTCAATCACTTATTAAGCCAATTAAAAATATATTATTGTGTGTGTCTTGTGGGTGTCTTTGAACTTTCCTTCCAATTCTGTATCCGTTCGTTTTGTTCATGCATTCCTTATTCATTATGAAAGAAGATAGATTATTTTTGTGTGAAATCAAATGGAAACATTTTCATATGATTGTGGGAAAAATCAACTGCCGGTCGTTCATCTGCTTGACGAAAAAGGCTGAATGGATATGATCTGCTGGTAGGCTCAAAAGCCTACTGGTATCATCTTCATCATCAAATTCAATCTGGCCAGTCATGCTTTCTTGCATGATTCGCGGAAATATGCGTCAACAAGAATGTTCCAGTAAATCCAATCGACAGTTGGTCAAGAGGCATTCGCCGTCGTCTTCTGGCGGAGTCGAGCTTCGAACGATTTGCTCAAACATTATCATTCGAAATGAAAGTAAGCTCAACAATTATGGTACAATCGATTGTTCTAAACCCAACTTTTCCTCCCACCCAATCCAGTAGCTGAGGTTCGCAAAAAATGAATAACTAAACCAGCATATTATGAATTTATAGACGCTTCTCCACACGCTCTGGCATCTTCTTAACAGCCAAATCTTACAGTCGAGTTGATGAGTGAAAACTGTAAACGGTCTAATCCAGTCCAAATATGGACAATGTTGGTTGAGGGATTGACTTCACTTGTCCTCTTGACGAGTTGGCCGTTTGGTGCGGAGAATGGCAAGACTCATCGGGGATGCCTGCGAAACGTGTGAAAATGTACCGAGTACACAGTCTGATGTTGGGAATTTCGACAACTACTATGACAGAAAACTTCGGACAAGATGCGTTCTACTAAACCGCCCTGACAACAGAAACAATTATTTCTACTCATTTCATCAATCGTTACAATCGTTTGACATTGAGTGGGCAAAATCGCAACTTCCATTGTCTGTCCGATTCTTGCTGTTGCAACAAACAGTTCCGATAGTTCACGGATCGGCCATGCGACGCAATCGTGGAAGGTGTCTCGTAACTGAAACAACCATCCGAGCCTTCACGATTGTCTACTCAACTCTCCCATTTGAAACGAGCGAGTATCGCATCATTCCGCTCTTGGATAAAATTACTTGCAATGTGAATGATATGTTGCAGGATTGAGTGAGTCGATAGGGATTTGACTCCCGAAGAATACGTTGAGCAAAAGTGGATCCAATGCATGTTTGGTCAACCAGAACAGAGAAAAGAAGACCGATTTCTCAA